TTCTTTGCCAATTCTAAGGGCCCCAGAAGTGTTTGCTGCCCCTAGGGTGAAAACCTAGGAACAGTTAATGTGTTAGGACAGATGCTTGCAGCCCACCACCTAGAGTGAGTCAGGTGGGGGGCTGGGATGAGTCTATCCTCCCTCTGGCTGGCTGGCTAGTGAGAGGGACCAGCTGAGGTGGGAGGATGTTGCGTATGTGGTGGGGGGAGTGTAGAGGTGGTAGCCCAGCTAGTGCTGAGAGATTAAGCTACAGCAACTCTCTCACCGATCTCCCCAGAATGTCTGAGGAAGTGCATGAGAGTGGCTGGGGTGTGTGTGGCAGAGCCCTTGACTCTAGCAGGAGGGAGTTTGGGGAGGAGAGAGAATGATCACATTGGGGGACATGGGCCAGGACAAGCTATTAGAGTGGTGATGGGTATGGGGTGCTATGGGAGCCTGAGGTCAGGCTGTTACAGGGGAAGACACCCCCAATGTGTAGTATCGGTGGTGTGTTCCGGTCTCCTGAGCTCATTTCCAGTTCCTGGACAGCATACCCACAGAGGGCCCTGAGGTTCAGCTGCTGCTGGTAAATGCCAGATCAGTCAATAATAAGGCTTCCCTTATTCAAGATCTTATTGAGGAGGAGCAGTAGTGGGATGCTGCCAGTTTGCACCGGTTCTAGTGAACTGGTAGCTCCAGTGAGCAGTTGGCCCCGCCCACCTGCCCCCGCGCTTTCCTGTCCTATATTTCCTTGTTTTTTAGCTCAGCTGATTCTCACGGGAGAGCAGATTGCCACGCCTCAGCTGTTTTACTCACAAGTGCTGAATAGAAGGTAAGTTTTGAAGCTTACAATCGGTGGTTTTCAAACGCTTCTATGAGTGAAGCACGCTCTCATAGAACCAGTAGTAAAAAAGGTTGAATCCCACCACTGAGGAGGAGCAAGCTGATTTGGCATGCATCACCAAGACTTGGCTGATTATGGGAGTGAGGGGGGGGGGGGTTCCCCTCTTGGAGATGTGTCCAGCTGAGTGTAGGGTTTGGCAACAGCTGAGACCCCAGGTTAGGGGAGGTGGGGTGGCAGTGGTCATCTGAGAATCTCTTCTGGCAATCAGGAAGCTTGCTCTACATGTTTCTGGTTGTGAGACCCTGTTTTTGAAGCTGGGCTCACAGGATCAGTTGGGAATGTTGCTACCAGCCTCCCTGCTGCGTAGCAACCTCCCTGCTTGAACTGCTGGAAGCCATCTCTGGGCTGGTGGTGGAGTTCCTGTTTCTGGGAGACTTCAACCTGCCATCCCTGGGTATGGCCTTGGAAGTGGCGCGGGAGTTCATGGCCACCATGGCAGCCATGGGCCTATTCCAGATCATCTCGGGTCCAACAGTGGGCATACACCAGACATGATTTTCGTGATGGAGCAATGACAATGTGATCTGGTGGGGGGATTTAACATTATCTCCCTTGTCATGGTCAGATCACGCCCTGGTGTCCCTGAGACTCTCTTATGCCATCCCCATCTGCATTAAAATGGTCCACCCCCAGCGACTGATGGACCCAATTGGGTTTCAGAGGGAACTAGGGGACTTCCTGGAGGTTTTGCTGCATGGCCCTGCCGAAGCCTTGCTAATGTCCTGGAATTAAAGGGCAGCCGGGACCCTGGACAGGATCACACCCATGTGGCCTCTTTTGACCCATCACTCCTGACTCTCCTTGTGTTTCATGGAGAAGTTGCAGGTTCTGAAAAGGGTTAAGAGATGCCTAGAGCGCCACTGGAGGAAAATGAAGGATGACTCCGACCGGACATGACTTAGAGCTGCTATTAAGGCCGACCTCATGGTGGCAAGAGTGGCAAAACAGCATTATTTATATGCCCTTATTGTGTCTCAGAAGTGTCGCCCCACAGCTCTATTCCAGGTTACCTGGTCCCTTTTGGGACAGGACAGCTCAGTTGAACATCCTCAGGACCATGCAGAGGAATTTGTTCAACACCTGACAGATAAAGTCGCTCAAATTTGTTCCCAGTTGAAACCCATATGTGGTGCAGGTCCTTGTGAGATGCCCAGGGATAGGTCTTGCCCAGTTACCTGGGAATAGTTTGATCCTGTTGGACCTCATGAAGTGGACAGGGTCCTCAATGCTGTCAGTGCAACCACCTGTCAATTAGATCCTTGTCCCGCCTGGCTGGTGAAAGCCTTTGGACGGTGACTAGCAGGTGGGTGCAAGCAGTGATAAATTTCTCACTGCAGGAGGGGACATTTCCAGGGCCTTTCAAGGAGGCCCTGGTTTGCCCACTCCTTAAAAAAAAACCATCACTTGATCCCACCTGCCTGGACAAGTTTCCCATCTTCCCATCTTAGGAAAGGTGGTAGAAAAGGTGGTTGCTTGGCAGTGTCAGAGGTTCCTGGATGGAATGTATTAACTGGACCCCTTTCAGTGAGGTTTCAGGCCTGGTTAAGGGATGGCAATGACATTGGTCATGCTTGCTAATGATTTCTGGTGAAAGTGGGATGGGGGTAGTGCAACCATCCTTGCACTCCTTGATCTCTCAGCAGCCTTTGATACCATTGACCACGATATCCTTTTGGGCCGGCTGCCGTGTTTGGGGCTGGGTGGCGCAGCTTTGCATTGGTTTGGCTCCTTTCTCTAAGGCTGGTCCCAATTGGTGTTGATAGGGAGTGAGAGGTCCAGTCCATGGCCGCTCCTCTGTGGTGTACTGCAGGGCTCGGTACTCTCTCTGCTCCTTTTTGAACATCTACATCAGGGGTGTCAAACTCAATTTCATTGAGGGCCGTATCAGGGTTGTGTTTGACCTTGGGGAGGGGACTAGGGTAGGCGTGGCTGGGGTGGGCATGGGGTGGGCATGGCCAGCTCGACATCACTTGTGTCGGGGGCACCTCTGGTGGCCAAGTGCTAAGGCAGGACTTCCCTGAGACCCTCCGTCACTCTCATTATAATCTTCCTTTCCTTCCTTTTTCCTTCCCTCTTCATTCTTTCTTCTTCCTTCCCCTTTCCTTATTTTTCCTTCCTTGCTCTCTTCCCGTCTTTCCTTCCTTTTCTTTGTCTTTCCTCTTTCCCTTTCTCTTTTCCTGTTCCTTTTTGCATGCTCAAATGCAAAAAGGGAAACATTTCTCCTTTTGTTTTGTTTTGTTTAGTTTGTTTTGCTAGCCCTCTGCCAGCAAAAATGGAGCTCAGGGCAGCCCTCCTGGCGTGCAGCCCTCCTGGGCCCCATTTTTGGCCATGACGGCTTCCTGTAGTCCTCTGCCAGAGAAAATGGGCCCTGTTTTTACTCTCCAAATGGGCTCTCCTAAGCTCTGTTTTTACTGGCAGAGGCACCTTTGCTGTTTCCAGGGCAGCCCTGCGGGCAAGATCTAAACACCTTACAGGCTGGATCTGGCCTGCAGGCCTTGAGTTTGACACCGCTGATCTACATTAAGCCTCTGGGTGAGATCATTCGCCACCAGGGGTTGAGTATGCTGATGATACTGTTGGAAGAAATATCCATCTGGTTCAGTTCCAAGCTGGGAGAAAGACACTGGAAACATGGAGGCTGATTGGAAATATGGTTTAACGATGAAACAGAACCACCAAGCACATGGTTCTGATGCAGCTGACCACATGGAGTTGAGAGTGGGTTTTTTTTATACCTTCTCTTGGGCTTTCCACTTGAGCTTCCTGTTCCTGTGCAAGAACATGTATTCCATTGGCTGTTGTCAGACTTCCACGGGGCCATGTTGGGGTTATGTAGGGGTCATAGCTGGCTCTATAGGTTGTCTGAGCTAAGGTTGAAGTTTAAGGGTGAGTCTAATGTCCTTAGGAGATTGTGAGCTGTGTTTTAGTGGGTTAATCCTATTATGTCCTGACGGGTCATGTCTTAATCCCTTCACCCTGGAGCTGAAGGTCTTTTGTTTTGTAGATAGGCTGGCCCAGTCTTTCTTAATGGGCACAAAATATCTGCTGGAGGCAGGGAGCTGGGGCTCTGAGTGTCTGTCTCCCTTAAGATTTTTTATTTCTCTTTTAGGGGAAATATTTTATCCTGCCTTTTTAAAATATTCCTCAAAATATTTCATTTTTCTAGGAAGGGGTGGTGGTGGCTTCCCACAAAACTCAACTTTATAGCTCCATCCCTGGTGATCTAAGTGATGCTGTTGCCACCCTCTCGTGGTGTCTGGAGGCTGAGGAGGCTTGAATGGGGAACAACAGGCTTTGTCTGAACCCTGGCAAGACAGAATGGGTTTGGGTGCAGAGCTTCAAGGCTTTAAACAACTTAGTTCTGTATGGGGTTGCACAATCCCAGACCTGGTTCGATGCAGGCCCCATTGGTCAAGGAATTCTGACTGGTGGGGGCCAGGAGAAGGGGCTTCTCTGCTGTGGCTCCTACCCTTCGAAATATCTTATCCCGAGATGAGATTTGGCTCCTATCCTTCTGTCCTTCTGCAGAAACTTGAAGACCTGGCTCTGACAGATGGCTTGGGGCCCCAATGGGGGAGTATCACATTGGAGGTGGTTGTTGAATTAACAGGCAATCCCACTTCCCCCGCCCCAAGCAATCCTGTTCCCTCCCTTCCCATCTTTTATCTATATTTTATCTTGATTGGGATTTCTATTTTTATTCTTTTAAAGATAGTTGCTAGGATTTTAATGTTTTAATGTTAGAAGCCGCGCAGAGTCGTTTCATTACGAGATGGGCGGCAAATCAATAATAAATAAGTTTAAAAGAATTAAAAAAAAAACTCCTTATGCACATGCGCTTAGCAATCCAGGTTTTTGTTTTTTGTTTTGTCAGTATGACCATAAAGTCATGGGAAAGAGAGGCTCGCCTTTCTCGGTTTATGCTACAATCCGTGGCGTCACTGCAACGCCCTCCCCCTTTCTCCCTCTCCAGTGCGGCACATTGGCCATTCCGCTGAGTCCACCATCTTCTGCACCGGAGCGGAAGAGTCAGTCTTCCAGTATCCCAGACTACAACGCGGCGCTTCCAGCGGCGCTCCCCACCTGTCTCTTCAGCTTTCTCTTCATCAGCCGGACGCCATGTTATGCTAGATTTATACTTCGCGGCTGGCAGTCAGTTTTGAACAAGAGTAGTTCCTGCCGTTGGGAGAGGTAGGAGGGTTGCAGGCTTCCACGCCGGAACCCGGCAAGATCCGACGCCATGGCAGCCGCCCTAGGAGGAGCAGGTGCGGATTTCTTTCTCGTACTCCCAAGTGGGTGCGGCTGACGCGCGGTGAAAGCCGCGGGCCTCAACCGGGTGGGGGACGCCCCAGGGTGAGTGGGAAGAAGAAGCTGATCTCATTGATCTCGTGAACTACTGGAGAACAGTTGCTGCTGTTTGCGCCGCCTTCGTGTGTGTTTACTCGCGAGAAGACACTGGGCTATACAGGGGCGTTAGGTTTGTCCTGAGGGGCTGGGTTGGATTGAGGGACACCTGGGGAGGGTTTCTTGGGTTTGAGGGCGCTACGATGAGAGAGGAAGCGGGAAGATGAAGGATACTTGGAAGTGTCTCTTGGGGATGGGAAGGAAAAGGTGGCAGTGCTTTGAGAGCCTGGGATTGCGGAGGTAGGTCTTGTGGCTAACAAAACCGAGATTAAAGGCATAGGACATGAGAGGTAGAATAAAGTATTTGTGGTGGGCATGTTATTGTGTTCCTTTTTATTTCCTATTTCTTTACATTTGACCTTGTTCTTTTGAGGGATTTGCTTTCCTCCCACCCATCCTTATGCCTTTATTAGGTACCCTCAGCATATTGAAGAGTGTTGCTGTTTCTTCCTCCAATTTTTATCCCGATTTTTTTATTCTTCAAGATCTAATTTTCTCATGAACATTTTGGCATACAGGTTGAATAAGAAAGAGAGAATGCAACATTATCACACTCTTTTCTCTATCTTAAACCAATTGGTGTTTCCATAGTGGCTTCCTGATTTGTGTAGTGATTGCACCAACTTGACCAGATGTGCTCCCCCTCCCCGATCTTGTAGGGCTGTCCATCACTTCTCATGATTAACACAATCGAAGGCTTTATCTCTTCTCTATTCCTGGGACAGTTGAACTGTATTGAGCAGAGGAGGAGGAATATATATGGCATAAGGGAGAGGACAACATCAAGATTATCTACAGGAGGGAACAAAAAAGGAACTTGAACTAGAACAAAAAGGTGAGAGGTGGCCCATCTGATAGGCAGCCCAGTGACCCATTTGAGAGAAGGAGAGACAGCCGAGGTAAGAGAGGGAGAGGCAGCCCAGTGACCCAACCTGACACCTGAGTGGAGGCAGTGCGGTGCAAATGGAGGCCACATCAGTGGTGAAACTGAGCTAGGTGGCAGCAGATCAGCAACTGTGAGCAGCATGGCAAACCTTGAGCAGCAGTAGTACAGAGCTAAGTGGCAGAGGAGTGAAGCGCCCAGACCTGGGACTAAGAGCAATGTGGTGGACCAGCACTGGCTGAGAGCAGTGCAGAGGACCAACTGAGCAGTGGCGCCCACAGCAGCGACTGAGAGCAGTACGACAGACCATCAGCAGCTGAGCACGGCAGACCAGTTAAGCAGAGCAGAGTGCCCACATCAGCGCATCATACCTGAAAACCCCAGCAGTGGCCAGACAAGAAAGCAGTTGCCAGGCAAGAAAGGGAAGAAAAGGATAAGTACAAAACACTTGTGGACAGGGAGGAAAAGGATACACTTTCAAGGCAGGGAGTAGAGGATTAAGAGCAAAGCATCTCCTAGCAAACAGCCTGAGATTTCCAACAAAAAAGTGCATATTACTTTATAAAGGGCCAAGGACTCTTGTAAATTCTTAAATTTTTAAAATCTCTGAATTCCTTTTTTAAAAATTATTTTGTCAAATTTTTATGTTTTAAAATTTTTAAATTCTTTTTTCAAAATTTAATCTTTTTAAACTTAAATATAAGTTAATTTTAAATTCCTTTTTCAATTTTTAAATCTTTTTCAATGTTAATTTTTTCAATATTAAATCTTCAACTTTTTAATTTTTTTCAGATTTTAATTAAAATTAAAAATCAAAAAAGTTATTTTAATTCTTTAGAAATTTTTAAATTCATAATGAGCAAAGAGGAAAAAAAACATGGGAAAAGAGACAGACACTTCAAAACAGGGAAGATAGTGATTAATTTTTCAAGACTGAGAACAAAAGGCCAAGAATTCTTATACATTATTGTAAACTGACACTTCGCAACAGGGAGAATATTTAAATTTTTAGAACTTTTTAATTTTTTAGCAAACAAAAATGTCGTGGAAATAGAGACTGACACTATAGTGACTTGCAAGGTGTGTCATATGTTTGATCTTATGTCCACAAAAGACCCAAACTATGTATGTATCAAATATAAACTACTTGAATTACCAAAATAAAAAATAAAGAGTCTAGATGCAACTCTAGCCAGTCAATGAACAAAGTAAGAGATCCCAACCTAAACAAGATTACAACAAAAGAAAACATAATCGGGAGCAAACAGCTTCTAAAAAAACCGATGACCCCTTATATGAACATAAAGAAAAAAACTGATACACCTAAATTGAACACAATTGGGGAACAAACAGCTTTGGTAAAAAATGTCCCTACATACATACATATACATACATACCTAAACAGCAAGACGGATGGAAATGTGTCACTTTTAGAAGAAAACAACCAACAGCAAAGCACCTATTATCTACCCTAGCCCACTCCAATGAAGCACCTCTGGAACTGAACAATTGCTTTCATAGCCTCCCGCTGGAAGAAAATATACAGACACTCACAAAAGAGCATTCATCAATAGTTTCTAAAAAAGAGACACAACCCAGCATTCCTGCAACAGGAAAAAAGTATTCCAGACTTCCTTAGGGAAAAAAAAGGCAAATATTGGTGATAGGAGATTCAATTCATAGGGGAACAGAAACTCTAGTCTGCAAACTAGGCAGTCAATCTAGGGAGATATATATAGTTTCCCTGGAGCAAAAATCAAAAGATGTAACGGAGTACCTTACTAAAACGTTATCACCTTCGATTTCCTAGACCCGTGATGGCGAACCTATGACACGTGTGCTGGAAGTGGCATGCAGAGCCATCTTCGCCGGCACATGAGCTGTCACCCTGAAGCAGGTCCACGGCGCATGCATGCCCGCCGCCTGCCCACCAGCTGGTAGCCGTTGAGCTGCCGCGCATGTGCAGAAAGGCGCGCTGCACACGGGGTTGCACATGTGCAGAAATGCACAGTGCACGTGCTGGGGCATGGGGGGTGCGGGCATTGCCTTATGGGTGTTGGTGCGTGTGCGTACGCGCACACATGCACTTTTGGCACACAAGGACGGAAAGGTTAGCCATCACTGTCTAGACCAGGGGTGGGCAAACTTTTTGGCTCGGGGGGCCTCATTGACTTTTAAAATTTGACAGATGGGCCGCCACCTGGTGTCAAAATGCCTGTCATTACAAGTCAAAATCAAATGAATGCAATCATTCAATCAATCACATCAAACCTTAATTCTGTACCAATCTTTGGCGGGCCGGATTAAAAAGACCAATGGGCTGGATGTGGCCCGCGGGCCGTAGTTTGCCCACCCCTGGTCTAGACCATGGTCTGCATTACCTACATGAAGGACTACTGGCAAGGGATGGAGTGAACCTCACAAGAACTAGAAAGAATATATTTGGAAAACAACTGGCTCATCAAAAGGGCTTTAAACTAAAATTGAAGGGGGAGGGGGACCAGTCTTCATGACCTTTAGAACCTAGTTCCAAGCAAAAACCACTAGATAATTAATCACATGAGGTAAGGGAGTAAAGAGAAAGAAGAAATAGAAAAAGAAAAACATAATGAAGTAGAGAGTGATGTAAAGCAGGGATCCCCAACCTTTTCGACGCCGCGGCCCGGTTCCGACATCAGCTGGGCGCCGCGGCCCGGTACCGGCGTCAACTGGGCGCCGCCATCTTTTTATGACGAAAAGGCGCTTCCGGTGAGCTTTCTACCCGGAAAAGCTCACCAGAAGCGCTTTTTTACCAAAAAAAAGATGGCGGCGCCCAGCAACCAGCGGCCCGGTAAGGCTTGTTCCGCGGCCCGGTACCGGTCCGCGGACCGGCGGTTGGGGACCCCTGATGTAAAGGATGGCAACAGCAGTTACAAAGTAGGACATATCAGAAACATACCCAAGACACAAAGGACTCAAATGAAAACCATCTAGAATCCATATGGGTCAATATAAAAGGGGGGAAAATGACATTGCTATAGGCGTATACTACAGGCCAGCCAACCAAGCAGAAGAAATAGTTGTACTCTTTGCTATTCAACTAACAAATGTACGTAGGAAGAATACCACAGTAGTAATTGGAATCAGGGATGGGATCCGACCAGTATAACTACCGGTTCTGTTGCTCTGCGTCACGCGCGCATGCACAATTTATGACCTGCTGAGCTCTTCATTCTATTTTCTTAATAAAAGTGATGGGAGTTTTAGGACAGCAAACATGGAGGACACCAGGTTAAAGAAAACTGGCATATTCCTACCTCCCTTTCTCTTTTTGAAAGTAAAAGCCATGCAACGGAAGCATTGTTAAGAATCTTCATGAATCTGACTTCCGGTTTGCAACCTTTCGGTGGCGGCAGGGATTCGCGACCGCGCGATCCCTGCTGCGTTCACCGTCAAGGTTCCCCTGATCCATTTGGATCTGGGGGATATAGCTGCCCCGCAGAGGCAGCTGAAGACAGGGGGGATCCGGCAAGGGGTTTGGGGGTGTCGCAAACCCCCTCCCCAGCTGGCTAAACCCCCTTTTCCCGAGGCGGAGGAACGGCGGTCAGCAATGGCCGCCACGAAGAAAGCTGCAGCCGGACAAGCAGGTGCAGGAGGGAGGAAGCTGAAAGAAAAGTGAAAGTTGATTCTAACCGGGACAAGACGGGAGAAAATGACCTGGAATCTTGAAGGCTGCTAAGTATATATTGTTCCCTGTGAGAGTTTTTAAGCTGCGAATATTCTAAAGGGGAAAGTTTTTTCTTTGTTCTACTCTCCTTCCTAAAGTGACAGCGGAAAAAAACAAAAACCTTTTTGGCTGTGAGTGGGAAGGGAGAGTGAAAAAAAGAATTAGAGCAAAATTTGAAAATAAGGAGAAGATTGCCTAGAATTACAAAGAGTTTAAAAACTTCCAAAAAATATATTTGAAAAGGATTTGTGATTACTTTAACCCCAGAAAGA